TCCTTAACACTTACTTCGATCACTCCTATACAAACTATTGAATAATTGATAAAACATTCGTTAGTATATTTTGTTCACAAATATTGTTCTTAACACTTACTTCGATCACTCCTACACAACTATTGAATAATTGATAAAACGTTCGTCAGTATATTTTGTTCACAAATATTGTTCTTGACACTTCGATCACTCCTACACAAATATTGAATAATTGATAAAACGTTCGTTAGTATGTTTTGTTCATAGATATTGTCCTTGACACTTACTTCGATCACTCCTATACAAACTGGATCTTAATATCCTCAAGAAATGATGATTCGTTGTCATCGCTTGCTACTAATATTATTGTTTAATATTGCTATAACGATTACTGATTGATATTACAAATATAACCCAATCAAAATCAATTAATTAATTTTATCTCTTTTTTTAAAATGTTTCCTTCTAAATAAAATAAATAATAAAAATTAATAAGAGATCATGACTATTAAATTTCTATAAAATAGTTTTTCGTGAACCTTTCTAAAACTTATTAACCTACGCCCCCATAAAGTAACAACCATATGAAGGCTTATCAAGTCTTTTAAAGGCGTTATTGAGAAATAATCTGAGCTTTGAAATGAAAAAGTAATACCGTTTTTGAATAGACGTGAATTTATGTATCTTTCAGTATGAAAAGGTATATTCATTAGAAAGCTTTAATGAAGTACTTTCATTTTACTCTAACAACGAAGTTCGAGTTTATTATAAAATTAGCAAAAAAAGCTTCATGTGCACGAATTTCAAATTTTAATTTAACATATAAAAAATCAATTGATGTGGGATGTCACACGACTAATATGCATTCAAAAAATTGATAATGATATAATATTTTTTGTTTATTAATTTACTCATAATGATAATTATAATAAATAATAAAAAGAATAATCGGCTCAGATCCTTACTGCTAAATCATAACAGTAGGCCATTAGAAGTTGATAACATTTCACTATAAAGAGAAGTATCAAACCATCTTCCTTGTTCATCATCGCCAATTGCCATTATTATTATATATATTTTCATTAAATCAAGTTTGGCTAAATGTCATCATTTCTTTTATAAAAAAAGATCAGAAATCACTACTGACTACAGCACCATATAAGGGTCTGCTACAAACTCCTCACGAGGAGTTCGAATCATTTAAATTATATTTAAATGTTGTAATGACGTGTAGTAACTTTCCTTTGCAATCCCACAGTAATAAATTACTGTGTAGAGTGATATTGGTAAATCCACTCATTGTAAGATCACATTTTTACCCAATTCGTGGTTTAGTTAGTCAGTAGTGTATATTAACGCCCCTTCCATCCGTCCGTCCGTCCGTCCGTTCATTCGTTCGTTCCCATCCTTTTTTTTAAAAAAAAAACCCCCATAATAATATTAGATAAATAATATCAACAAAAATAAAGTATAAAATATAAATATAAAACATAAAATATAAAATATAAAATATAAAATACAAAATATAAAATATAAAACATAAGTACTGTGTGATTGTCGACTTGTTTGGCTTTGTTCCTGGTAGTCGATAAAAAGAGTCCCATGATACTTTGTTTTTTTAAAAACAATTATTATAATAATGATCAGATGGATATGAATGATAAATAGTATCAACAAAAATAATAGTATAAAATATAAAACAAAGCATAAATACTTGATAAAAATCAATAAAATTAATTATTATTGGGACGTTGTTGTTAGATGGGAAGAAAAGTTTTTTGTTGGTAATACAAAAGATCAAAAAATTAAACAATAAATAAATAATAACAAAGTTTACAAATAAGGAAAGCAAAGCGAGCCATCGAAATTTTCATTTAGGTTATGGTGCGAATCATCTAAAGACATCACGTGCTGCGCCACTTGCCGAAATTTTTTATGCTGATCTTGCTTTATAAAGAATCCAATAAAAATAAATCCAAATTTGTAAAAGATCTGTGACTTTGTCACGTGAATAATTGGTAAAATTGTGAAAATAATCTG